CCCAGAGCCAGAGCAGTGGTAAGAATGGGCGCAGCCAAGCTGATTCTTCTTGTCCCTTCACGATCCGCAGCCCTGCTGTAACTGGGATGCCAAGACGGGGGAGTACATGTTTCCTGCCAAGAAGCAGCTGCAGGAATATCGCGTCTTAATTACCACCCTCATCACTGCCAGCAGGTGGGGAGTTGTTAGTGTAGGTAAAGGGGTGCAGGCTGGGGAAATGGGGAAGAAGGGCTCCTGGGGGCTGAGCATTCAGGTCTGGTCCCCTGGCCGTGACTCTTGCCTGGCCTGACACCTCCCAGGTTGGTGTCGGCCCAGTTTCCCACCAACCACTTCACACACATCTTCATTGATGAGGCCGGACACTGCATGGAGCCTGAGAGTCTGGTGGCCATAGCAGGTGAGGGATCGGACGGACTGTGGCACACCACCCTCCTGAGGCTCCGGGAGGTCCCATCACCCACCTTTCCCCCCACACTGCCCCTGCCTCCCAGGACTGATGGAAGTCAAGGAGACCGGCAATCCAGGAGGGCAGCTGGTGCTGGCAGGAGACCCTCGGCAGCTGGGGCCTGTGCTGCGCTCTCCACTGACACAGAAGCACGGGCTGGGCTACTCGCTGCTGGAGCGGCTGCTCACCTACAACACCCTGTACAAGAAGGGCCCCACCGGCTACAACCCCCAGTTCATAACCAAGCTGCTGCGTAACTACAGGTATTCCTGCACCTCCCCCTCTGCCGCTACCCTGACCTTCTCGGCCGATGTGTAGCCCCGGCTGCGGGCTCTGCTCTGCATGCCTGTTGCTCAGAGGCTGTGATGCAGAAAGACTATCGGCTGGAAGGTCAGAGGTCTCCTTTCTGGCCCCATCTCTGCTACTTGTCCGTGTGACTTAGCAAGTGCTTTCATCCTGCACTAGTTTGCTTGGCTTGTCTGTACATTGGGCATGGCTGGATACTAGGATGTGTCTGGTGTGAGGTCTCAGATGGACTTTCCAAACGATCCAAGGAGACCTGAGAAAAATAGAATAGTTTTTGCTTTTAGACGTAAGAGTCTCTCTATGTAACCTGGTCTGGCCTCCTACTGCTGGGTTCAACTAATCCTCCTGTCTTAGCCACCCACGTAACTGAGAGTACAAGGTATGTGCCACTAGGCCTGGCTTATATACTTCAGTAAATGACTTCAGACATCAGAAATGCTTAGGTAAGTATCAAGCTGTCACTAAGAGTTCAGTAAGTGTCAGTTACTATGTCACTGCTTGTTATCTTTTTGGATTTAACATATAAAATAATAGTGATAGGTGATAATTTGTTTTTGTACTGTCATGAGAATGGCTTCCTAATTTTTTGATTTTTAAAAGTAATTTGGAGCCACGTCTGGTGGCTCACATCTATAATACGAGCTTTTGGGAGGCTACGGCAGGAGCATCTAGAGTTTAAGGACAGTTTGGACTACATGGTGAATTCAAGACCAGTCTGGACCCTGTCTCAAAAACAAAACAAGCAGTGGCACACGCCTGTAATCCCAGCACTCAGGAGGCTGAGACAGGAGAATCGCCCCAAGTTTGAGGCCAACCATAGTGAGATCAAAGCCAGCCTGAACTTCATAGTGAGACCCTGTCTCAAAAAACAGCAAACAGAAATGAGGTGAGAGGACTGCAAGTTCAAGTCCAGCCTGGGCAACTTAGTGAAACTCTGTCTGAAAAATTTGTATGAAGGGTGGGGGATAGCACTCGGTGTGAAGGGCTCTGAGTTCAGTCCCCAGCACCACAAAGGTAAGGAAGTGATTGCGCTGGTCAATGAAATCCAGCTTTGTGACCCACATTTGGTTGTGCTTTCTTCAGTTGCAGTGTCCTGCCGTGTAGAGAGCAGGAGTGCAGAAGGATACTGTGCATAGGCCCAGGGCAGGGGTAACTCAGTCCTTAGTCTTACTCTTCCTCCTCTGCCTCCTAGGTCTCATCCCACCATCCTGGACATTCCTAACCAGCTCTATTATGATGGCGAGCTGCAGGCCTGTGCGGATGTGATGGACCGAGAACGGCTCTGCCGCTGGGAAGGTCTGCCTCGAAAGGTGAGGCTGTGCCTGGACAGGTAAGGCTGAGCTCTCAGGGCTGGGCTCAGGCCCTTTTGGCCCTGACTCCCAACTTCCCTCCTAACTGAAGGTGCAGGGCAGGAAGAGGCTGAGTGGACGCTGTGGGTGCCTCCGTTTGTCACCCCGGCCTAAGCCTCCCTGTTTCCTGGAAGGGTTTGGAGGTGGGGAGGGGGCGGTAGGAAGCTCTGGCTGAGGGTTTCCTCTGACCTGTGTCCAGGGCTTTCCCATCATCTTTCACGGCATAATGGGCAAAGATGAGCGTGAGGGCAATAGCCCGTCCTTCTTCAACCCTGAAGAGGCTGCCACAGTGACTTCCTACTTGAAGCTGCTCCTAGCCCCTTCGTCCAAGAAGGGCAAAGCCCGCCTGAGCCCCCGAAGTGTGGGCGTCATCTCCCCATACCGGAAGCAGGTCAGGCCTTCAGTTCCCAGCAAGTGTGGAACCTTCCCCCAGGTGGTGCCTCCCAACACCAGACCAGTAGGCAGAGGCTTCAGGACCCCCAGCGCTTGCTGGCCTGGGATCCAAGTCCCCTCATCTCCTGTCTTGTCTCCTTGTGCCTTGGGGTGATGACTTGAGAGAAAGGCACCTTTCCCTCCCTCCAGGTGGAAAAAATCCGTTATTGCATCACTAAACTTGACAAGGAGCTTCGGGGGCTGGAGGACATCAAGGACTTGAAGGTGACACACTGCCCCGTGTTCACTCCTGCCTTCTGTGTGCCTCTCTTCCCCACTTTCGGGCACCTCAGCTTCTGCGCTGCTGCTCCAGTCCGACCTCTGTCCCTGTCTCATTCTGGGACAGAGCTGGTGCATTCCCCAAGCCTCTCACTCCTAGAGATCACAACTTGTGGGTCTGGAAGCTTGTGTGTTTAACAAGCACTCACATCCTGCCATTCCTGTGATCGTGCAGGCTTGAGGCCTCTGCCCTCAGTGTGAAGTCCAAATTCCATGGCCTACCTCCAACTGTCCTACGATATTGTCCCCCCACCCTGCAGTAGCTGGCTGCTCTCTCAGGTGGTGAATGCAGGTAAAAACCACCTGGATTGCTTCTAATACTGCCAGTGCCAGGGCCCCACCCAGCCAATTAACACAGCTGTCTGGGGGCAGAGCCAGGGCACTGGTAGTTTTTACAGCTCCTCAGGTGATTCTGATTTGTAGCCAGGGTTGAAAACTGTTGTACAGTTAGAGGCCTCTGGAGCCCTCACAAACTCTGATCAGGAGGTCTGGGTGAGGGCTTTGAGTTGTAGACAGTCTTAAGTTTCATAATCATTGCTCTGAGTTACCGTTTTCTCTGCAATGCTGTCTGCTTCGCTTTGAAACTTTCCAGGCCCCACACCCATAAGTGGCTTCACCCTTAAGCTTTCCACTCCCACTGCAGCCTCCTGTCCTCTCTGCCACTCTGCTGGTCTACAGTTGCCAAGTAACTGCTCTGTACCTACCATGTAGCTCAGGCTCCAGGTGCCCTTCCCTGTCCCCACCTGCTCTCAAGTCTTGCCTCTCTCTGCTCTAGGTGGGCTCCGTGGAAGAATTCCAAGGCCAAGAACGCAGCATCATCCTCATCTCCACCGTTCGAAGCAGCCAGAGCTTTGTGCAGTTGGATCTGGACTTTAACCTGGGTTTCCTTAAGAACCCCAAGGTTTGAGGACTTAGGGGTGGCAGGAATTCTTCCTTCCTTGGGCCTTTCCCTTCTGTGACCCCAGCCTTCTTCCTTCCAGAGGTTCAACGTGGCTGTGACCCGGGCCAAAGCCTTGCTCATTGTAGTGGGCAACCCACTTCTCCTGGGCCATGACCCTGACTGGAAAGCGTGAGCATTCCCACCCCAAAACCCCTCTTGATGGCCACAAGCCCCAGCCTAGCACAGGTACAGCTTTATTAAGCAGCTGCTTATGGCTCAGTTAATGCTAACCAGGGTTAATTCCTACCACGCCCCCACTCTATTTGTAAGTGATTGACCTGGAGGTTGAACAGCCCTGGCTCAGATGTGGCAGGTCCAAGGCTGGGCCTCCAGCTCCACGTACACCAATGCCCCTGTACTCCACAGATTCCTGGAGTTCTGTAAGGAAAACGGGGGGTACACTGGGTGCCCTTTTCCTACCAAACTGGACCTGCAGCAGGGACAGAATTTACTCCAAAGTCTGAGCAAGCTCAGTTCTTCTACCTCAGGTATGGCTGGGCCAGGTGGGGGACAGTACTGGGAGATGTCAAGAAAACAAAGCACACTTCTTTCCTTCCAGGGCCCTGTGGTGGGGACTGCATCCCCCAGGAGCAGGACGGCGAAGGGCACCTGTCTCTGCAAGTGGAGCCACAGTGGAGGAACGAGCTCTGAAGACGGCTGCCCACCCCCTCACACCACCCAGGCCTTAACCCCCTGCTACCTGGCCCCGAACCGGAACCCAGCTAAGCTGTCCCTCTAAGGGACAGGAAGGCTGGGGGAGAGTTTACAACCAAGCCATTCCACCCTTTCTCCTGCTGCGGAGAACCAAGCTGCTAACGATTGGGGGAGGGGAGAGGAAGAAAAATTGAAAACAAAATCTTGTTCTATACAAAAGCCTCTTGCTCATCTCCTCGGCTTGGCCCCAGCTTCCAGCACTCCCCAGTGACCCTGCAGAAGGGTGAGACTGTCACATCCAGCCCAGGGCCACACCCCCTTGAAGTCCAGAGGAGGAAACCCAGGACAGCAGAGCCACCCACAGGTTTCTAAGTTTAGCCCCAGCTACAGACCACTCCCCTCCCCCTCCTCCTAGGCCTGGAGCCAGCCATGACCTCATTCTTAGCTCTGAGACTCCACCCTAATTCTGTAGTCCTGCCTCTGCAGACCCAGGACCAGCCTGGCAAAAACTTGGAAATGAAGAGAGAGATGAAACTCTAGGCTTGCAGCCAAGATAGGGACCAGGAAAGAGAGATAGAAAGCTGCCACACACATGTTGGAACCTGCAAATTTATTCATGCCCCGCACCAAGTGAAGTCACAGACAAAAGGCCCCTGCCCAGAGCAGAAACCCCAGTCCCCTACCCTAGGCGTGCTCCTGGGAGCCAGAAGTATATAAAGTGCTGGTGTGTGACTCTTCCCGGGAAGGCCAAAAAGAGCAAAAGCCCCACCCCTAGACCAAGGCAGCAGGAGCAAGGCCTCTGCTCTGGAAGGACAGGGCACAGGCCTGTCTCTCAGAGGAAGGGAGGGAGGGCCCACCACCACCACCTTGGGGCTGGGAGATTCAATGCAGTCTTGGGCATGAGGGAACTGAAAAGAATGCCTTCAGCATGGAGTCCTAAGGGCAAAGTTCCAGGTTATTTATATGCCCTTGTGAAGGAAAGGGGGGCAGGTGGGGGGATCTCAGAGAATGGGGCAGCCCCTCCGGCGCTTATTCTTGCGGACCTGAAGGCCAGCCCGAGTGGCCATCTCAAATACCTCCCGGACCCCCTCCTTAGTCTTGGCTGAGCACTCGAGGTAGCCAAAGGCACTGATCCGGTTTGCCATGTCCCGGCCTTCCTCAGATCGAACCGGCTCCTGAGAAGACAAAAGGTCAAAGGAAGCTGGTGGCTCTGGACACCTATAACTCCTACCCTAGCTCCACAAAGCACCCAGGCCCTCAGCTACCGCAGACAGGGATCTAAGATCCATGTTTAGATTGCAAATTCCAGTCTATTCCTTTCCCTTTCCACCATGGTACACACTTCTCCCTCCTGACTCCCCACTCCTAACTGACCTCCCTGCCTCTCTTCTCCTTCCAGGCTAGGTACCTGACGTGTGTCCCCAGTTTAAAACCTCACCATAATTATCCTCCTGAGATAGTCAACATTCCACATCCAGGCAGCTTCCGGTTGTAAACTAGTTCTCCCTCTAGAGAGGCACTTAGCAAGACCTTGAGTAGGGCCCCCTGGCCTGCCTCCCAGCCACTGATAAGACACAGCCTCCCTCCCCCAGTGTGCTCCGAGGGCCCAGTCTGCACACCCCTAGTCATAGATAAGGACTTTCTTGTTCGTTTTAGTAACCCTAATTCCAAAGACTGGAATAAAGGAAAATACCAAGGGACCTTGTACGGATAAGTCACTTCATTCTCTGATCATCTCGTCCGCTGCCGAGGGCCCACCCAGCAGTCACTCTCCAAGTGCGCAGCCCTTGGAGGGTGCCTTCCTAAGGGCTCCCAGCGGAGCAGCTGCCCCACCTGCTTCATCTTTGCCAGCTCTCTCCTGGTGTGCTCATCTTGCCTCAGGTCCTTCTTATTCCCCACAAGGATGATGGGAACGTTCGGGCAGAAGTGCTTCACCTCCGGGGTCCACTTCTCAGGAATGTTTTCTGCACGGACAAGTCCCAACAGGTTTCAGTACCTCCACTTACCAGGGGAGAACCTCACCTTCCCACAGCAGTCTCGGGCTCTTCAGCCTGGTCCCTTTCCCAGCTCAAGACCCCTCCTCAGTACGTCCTCCCAAGGGCCACAGTTGCCAAAGAAAAGAGAGCAGCAGGGCCCGACTGTCCCCTGCATCCCCATGCCCACAGCCTCTGAAGATGGGTCTCCGTCCCTCCCTCCAGTGCCCTCACCCAGGCTGTCCGGGCTGTCGATGGAGAAGCACATGAGGATGACGTCAGTGTCCGGGTAGGAGAGAGGCCGCAGGCGATCATAGTCTTCCTGCCCCGCAGTGTCCCACAGAGCCAGCTCCACCTGACAACAAGGCCAGTGAGTGGCTGGCCTGAGGCCCCTAACCCTACCACCCAGAGGTCTTCCCGGAAACGACTGATGCTTTAGGCTCCCAGAACATTGATCTGACCACTTGCTATGTGTGAGGCATTATATTAATCACTGTCACACAACAAACTAGGTAAGTTAAAAAAAGGAACTCTAAAATGCATTTGACTTTTATACCGTACTGTATGAGCTGCCATTGTCAGCACTTTATTTAATTCTCATATGAATGCTTTGGGGGAGGTCATGCCATCACCTCCCCCGCTTTGCAGCGTGGGAAATTTAACAGGAGCAAAGGGACCTGTCCCAGGCTGCAGAGCCAGTATGTGGTGGAGCCAGGAGATGTATCTAGATTTCTAAGACTACAGTATGACTGCCCAGCTTTCACAGGTTCCAGCAAGGAGAGTGCAGCAAAAAAGTGCCAGGTGGCAGGGAGCACATTCTGGGTCCCTACACAACCAGGGGCAGGGTTCCCGGGCAGACAGGAAAGGGTTCTTGGCCTTTACCTGCTTCCCGTCCACCTCTATGTCTGCGATATAATTCTCAAAGACTGTCGGCACATAGACTTCTGGAAACTGATCCTTGCTGAAGACGATGAGAAGGCAGGTCTTCCCACAGGCGCCATCCCCCACAATCACCAGCTTCTTTCGGATCGCAGCCATGGCTGGGGCTAGCACAAAACAGGCAGTGGGGATTTGGGAAAAAGCCAGTAATTCCAAAACACTTCTCTAAAGCCCCCCACAACATCCCTGGAAACTGAGCATCCTGCGGGGAAGGAACAGAAGACAGCTTGTTCAAGTATGTTCTTGCCAAGATCCAATTCTGCAGGCAGCAGACCTTGAAGTTCCTAATCTGCGGATCTGCGACGGATCTTTAATGGGTTAGAACACACCAGAGGAGGTGGAAGAGCACACTTTGGAACCAGTAGACTTGAGTTTTGATCTCTTGTACTCAATCTGGGTCCCTGGATTACCCAGAGAAAGGTGCTCAGGGGTGTCTCCAAAAGGGCCAGCTTTTGCGTGTTCTGCGTATCAGGAATTAGGGTTGTGATACACTTAAAAGTTTAATCATCACTAAGGCCCAGTCTAGAACAGGTTGTCCCTCAGCACAAGTCATGCCTGCCTAGTCACAATGAGACAGTGGGTGGTGGGCCGGGAAGGGAAAGAGTATTTATACAGCCCTAGGTATCCCGAACTACATTGGGCATTTTAACAAAATCACCTTCCTCAGACACCTGTTGGGTGACGGCACACTTCCCATTTTGGGGAACTAGGGCTCAGTGAGGGTTAGACGAGTCTGGCACAGAGGTGGCGGGGTTCAAATCCAAACTGCATGCCTCAAGAACCTGTACCTTTCTACATGTCACCCCAGAGTTGGGAAGGAGAGCAGCAGCAGGGAAACCCAGACAGAGGCCAGGGGCAGCAGCCAGCCAGCTTCCCTGACCTACCCCACCCAGTCCCCAAAGCCAGGAGTCGTACAAAGGAGGCTCAGTCCTGGGAATGCCCACAGCCTGCATTTGGGCAGTCTGCCTTCCTTGCTCCTTCCTCTGGGGTCTGGCAACCACACTGGGTCACTCAGCCTCCGGCAGGGGACAATGACCACACTGTAGGGAGCCATGCATACACATCCACCAAGGCACAGCAACTGAAAAACCACTGGGCAATCGCCTCCACCCACTCTGGTACAGCCCTTTCTCCCTCAATCCAGTTCACTTCCAGGCCCTGCCTACCCCTCCCTGTGACTCAGGGCAAGGAGTCAACTTTGCCGGTTTGCTTGTGTCCCTCACCCCCAGCAACGTGAACCAGCAGTGCATCACACCTTCGCAGCTTCCCTTATTTCCTCCTTCCCTGGTGTGAGGGGGGAGCTGACCTCCAGCTGGCAGGGGTTCCCAGGCCCACAGCCTAGGAGGAAGAGGGCGGGCCCTGGAGCTGAGCTCAAGTCAAGGCTGTTGGGAAGGGGGAGGGGGCTAGAGCCTGGCTGGGAGGAGCCCCACAAAGAAGAGACAAATGAGACCCAGTCCTCCCACCAAGCAGGCAGGGAGCAGTAAAGAAGGGACAGTAATCTGATCTCCGTCCAAAGCCTGGCTTTTTCCTTCAGTCCCACATCCTGTCAAGCTAGGCTGAACTCTTCTACTCCACACCTACTGCCACCACCTCCCACCCTGGCCTTGGTCTGCCTTTAGGAAGCAGAGTACTCCAGCACCAGGCTGCTGCTCTTCAACAGCAGGATCCTGGGCGGCCCCTCCCTCTCTCCCTCCCTCCACACACATTCACAAAACTGGGATGTGGGGGAAGAGGACATGAGTCACCGAGAATTTATAGGAGTTGTGAGCACACAGCCACACTCTCCCCACCACAGAGGGTCTCTCCCTCATACCCTAAAAGACAGATAAGAAGGCATTCTCCCTGCCAGCAGATGCCCTTCAAAAAGGGGTACCCTAGCCGGGCGTGGTGGCGCAAGCCCGTAATCGCAGCACTTGGGAGGCTGAGGCAGGAGGACTGCTGTGAGTTTGAGACCAGCCTGGGCTATAGAGTGAGTTCCAGGCCAGTCTCCACTACATAGTGAGACCCTGTCTCAAAACAAAAACAAAAACAAAAAGGTGTACCCTGGGAAGTTCCACCAGGTGACTAACACTAGGATTTCTTCCAACCCTGCCACCCACTCCTGTCGTTCAGTTGTCCCAGCTGTACACAGGCCAGAGTAGCCCCAAGCTAGGCTGGCCAGTGCTGACGGAGGGCAATCACTGCTGGGCTAAACATCGGCCACTTGGGCATGAGGACATCACTGCTGTCGCCTAGCAAGGTATCTGGCACGGGTGGTGCCAGGCAAGGGTATGCATTAAATTACCCAGAACACTTTCCCTACAGTTCTGGTTGGGTCAAAAGAACAGGCAGCCCAGGCCAGGCCAGGCCACTAGGCCCAAGGCCAAGATGGCACAGACAACAGCTCCCTCTGAGAGGCAGCCCCGGAGGAACTGCCCCACTGACCTGGAAAGGGGCAGCCAAACCCCACGCAGAGCCTGGAATGGAGCCTGGGATTTGTGGGCCCTTCTCTGTGACAAGACACTGCCGGAGTCACTGGCCCGCCCGTCTAATTTCTCCACTTCACAGATGAACCAGTGGGCTCCTGTACCCCGCTCAATTCCTCTAAGTCCAGGGAAGGCATCAGTCTTCAGGGTATCAATCTTTCTCAACTTTGAAGCCAGAGGGAGGGAAGAACTCAGCTCCAGGTCGCCCAGCCCAAACTCCTAGGATAATCTTCATGCTGGCTCGAGAGAAGAGGTTCTTACTTATGCGCAGGATTCTTTCAAATCCCCTCTGCCCCCCATCCCAGGCAGACCCCAAGAGAACCTTCTAGGGAGGATCCAGACCCAGCCGAGCAGTGGCAGCCCCCACTGGTCACACCCCACCCCGTTCCCGACATCCCACCCCGGCCTGGGGCTGGGACCCAGGGAGCCCGGGCCTGGCTCCCCCAGTCGCCCCCTCGCCCCGCGGGGGAGGTTCCGGGAAGCGGGAGCCGAAGGGAAGAGGCTCGGGTCGGGTCAG